TCTTTCCCGTTTGTTCATAACTCCTTCATCCTTGGGGAGCCAGGCATTTTTCGTTTGGACGGCGGATGCCAATTTAACTACAAGGCAAAGTTAATGTGCCAGCGGACGCCTGCTGTTGAGCCTCCGACAGGATTTAAAACATCTTATGAAGACAAAAGACTCACGCCATGATATAAAGACTGTTTAAAATGTATTTTCTCATGTTTATAACCAACCAAGAGGCTGTATTAAAGAGTTTTTGTGCAACTACATCTATACAACTACAATTACTACTACTTGGGTTATCTACTACAACCACTTCTTCCATCATGGCAAAGACTTTTTTAGAAAGGTAATTTGATACATTTCATACCATGACACATCTAAAACATTGCCTAATATGATATATTTTCATGTCAGCCGTCTAATAATGTCAATGACTTGCAACTTAAGTGAAGTTTTCTGAGGAAAACCCAAGTAAACTTCATATTAAGTTTTGTGATCCTCAATTTTGGATGACAGGGATACAATTTAATAGACCAGGGACTTTTAGACGGTTTGCCAGAGCGAAAAATATTTATAAGCTTTGGGGCGAGACTTTGAGTAGAAATGCAGCCAGCGAACGCTCCAAATGACATTCAGAGCAGCCCAGAAGTCAAGCTTATGGTCCACTTTATCTGTCGTCAATCCTGTTAGCGGGATAGCGTCTTTTCAGGATGGCTCAAACTGCCCCTCTATCCAGCACTAATTCATCCTTTTAAGATTCAAAGACAAACTTGATAGCTTTGAGTCACATAAGGTCTGCCGACAAAGGTCGCACTACAAAGGTGATAGTGCGTATGTGTGTATTTGCAGCCCCTGTCCGCTATTCCGAGTCTAATGGTAGTCATTTCATGGGCTGACTGGATTGAAGCAGATACAGTTTCTGCTCCGGAGAGAGGCCACAGATTATGTGTGTGTTTATGTGTGCGCTGAGGGGCAGAATGCAAGAAAATGGCAAGGGACAGCACAGCGGAAATTGATGTGGGGTTATTGTGGAGGCCTAGGGACACTCATGGGCACCGGCACGGCTGCATATCTCCTCTGCCCTGCTGTGGCTGTGACCAAACAGAGTACAGGCTGTATCTAAAATGTGTTTGGTCTGGAAGTTTGAAAGACAATTGTCCTTTGGTAGCGGTCTTGCGTTACTTTTCTATTGTCTTGCCTCTAAGCTACAAGCTGTAACATTATGATGCTGTTCAATTTTTAAAGCGACACAGAGTAACTTTCTGTGGAAAGCGTTCATGGAAATAAAAAGTTAAAGACACTCTCCAGGTAAAAGGTTACTTTTTAGGCCACATGAGATTATAGCCCAAAGGCCCTCCAAGTACAAGTCAGGCTAGTGCAGCTGTCAGGCAGGAAGTTTTTACACTTTCCAGAGCAAAACACCCCCCACACATTTAGTGAAACTAAAGTGGGACTAAATATAATCTAAAGTGTATTTAGGCAGAACGTCAACATATTTCCTGAAACGTGAAGTTGAATTGCAGTAGGAAAAGTTCACATTGGGTCTGGAGCATAGTATAAGGTTGAAACTTTGTAGAAACTGAAACTTTTAAGCAGTTTGCAAACCAGCCTGAGTTCCTCAGAGCAATGCCTTCAGAAACCAATTTGGCTCGAAAATAATCTGTCGATTTTGTGTCTATTTACTGGTTCTGTCACAGCAGGAAATGGTCAGCGAAGCCCCTTTGACACCAAATGCTCAAATCCTTTTCAATCCAAATGAAATGCAATTACTAGTGACAGCCCCAACGCACCAGGGACCCTCTCCACAAAGGCCCTCAGTCTTTAAATTGAGGCGTGAGATTTTAACATTCTTCATCAGAGAGTGCCTGGCCCGGGCTGCAGGGACGTTCATTTGAGCCGCTGGAGCACGATCACACAGACCCGGCTGAATGACATGTCAATCATACAGCTGTGAAAAGGGACGGAATGAGAAACTGTCTCCAAAATGGCTGCCAATATCACCGCTCGCACACCTCATCTTCGTTAGTTATTTACCTCTTCCAATTTCTATTTTGGTAGACACATTGTTTATTTGTACTTGTAAATGCAGTTGCTTGGATGTGAAAAAAACGCCTAATTAATTACATCGTCACTCAACTTAATGGGCCGTGACCATTTTGATTACCAGATGGTTAGTTTAAGCTCGTCAGACAGTTCGAGTTGTACTTTTGACGGTTTTAGATTAAAAAGCCATTGTCATGAACAGCCCATTTTCCCATACATCAAAAACAGAAACGAGTGATTTCTTTAACTGGAATTAATTGTATTATTTTGTCATATTAATTGTTGGAAGTGTTGAGGGAGTGACACGAATGCATTCTCCAAAGGTTTTGGAGACGACAAGCGAAACGGTCTCGGACTTTTATTGAAAGTTTTAAAGGGAAGAGCTATGGAGTAAATGTAAAACCAAGAGATTTATAGAAGCAGTAAAACAGGACATGAATAGTTGGTGGGTGCAGAGAGGATGCAGAAGATAGGGGGAATGCGGGTGCAGATAATTTACGGCGAAACTGGCATCAGGCAACACTCACCAAATTTATGTGTTTAATTATGAGTCTATTACAAATACATGTGGAAATGTCAACTAAAACTTTCTCAGTGTCTCTTAATACACTCCAATAGATTCCACCATCACGTTAAAATCAGTCGAGTCATCTTCCCATGGCATACAGAAACATAATTATGGTCTGTCTACATGTTTTCGCAGACTCATCTCAGGCCTGTCTTGCAATAACACTGCCTCCCAAAGACCAATCACACTAAACCGCATTATAGCACAATCTAAAGAGCCCAGTTTAGAAAAGAAACCAAAGTAGATTGGAAATTATCTGTTTCTAAAGAGATTAGGGGTGGCACAATATCCCTGCAATGTAGATAAGTAGAAGTGTGTGGAGCAAATTAACTCAGACAACAAGTTCAACAATAAACTGGAATCAGGAGAATGTCTAAGGTTTGGAATAGATTAACTTTTGAACTTTGCTGAAAAGGTATTTTGGGTAAATTTCTTCACAAATAATATGATCAAATGTTATAGATACTTGTGGCCATTTATCAAAGCGGACTAAACTGTCATAAATTTGTATCTACACCTATCACACCCCCTTCAAAGGCCTTATTTTGACCAAAAGCCCTTTCCTTATGGAGCAACACGGGATGGCTTGTCAAATCAACTTTGCCTTTCAGCAGAGTATTTTTACTGAGGTGTGATCTGCGTGAGCCAAACATTTGTTACTTACTTATAGGTCAGGTGAAGATGAAGATAAAACAGCACAAAAGTCACACAAGAGTCAATTCTTTGATTAATGACAGCGTAACAAACCATTTAACAAGAATTAATTCTTAACGTCCAGATTTGGGCTGTTGCATGTGCAGCTCTTTCCTTTATAAAGTTGCCCACGTAAATGAAAGTTTGAACATGATTATATTGCTCCATGTGGATGATATCAGGATCAATGCCACACTCGAGTTCAGTCCAAGATGTGGAGACACTGGTATGTCTTTTGAAGTCAAAACTGTTTGTTATTATTTGTCCTGTCTGTCTGTATGTTTTAAATTGGACCTAGAGTCTGCGATAAAGTTGAATTGATAAACCGTAGTTCATTATAATGCCATTCCCTTGGGTCCTGGGACATAAACCTGGTTATCTTGACACATTCCTGTCCTTCCCATGGTGAAAAGCTGACACAAGTCCAAATAAAACAAAAAGCTTTCCCACTGTCCCGGGTCGACACGCCATTTCAGTGGGAACAAGCCCTGCCGCCTTATTGTCTGCATGATATTATTGAGCAAGGCGTTAAGTTACATATACGTCTCCATTTCACTCTCACACTATTGACCAAGTGTTCCTGACTTCATTTTTTCATCTATTAATGGACATAATTATCAAACACACCAATTACCTTAAATAAACCAGTCCTCTCTTTGCTGCAATCAGCTGAAGTAGTGCGCCGTAATCACCAAGGTAAACTTTTAGCTTTGCGTTCCAAGTGTGTATTTGAACTACAAATACTATTAGCATTTAGCACAGCTCATACGAGCGTGAACGAGAAATGGGCTCATATTCTTATGCAAACAAGAATCTTATAGATATATTGGAGCTTCATAAACGTAGGCAAACGCGTAAATTCATGGTTGGAATTTGAGTATAGGTATTAATTAACCTCTAAGAACAAATATGAGGCATTTTTTGTGTTAATTACATGTTATAGAGGATAACTACTTTCATATTATAGACTGAAAAATTCATGGATTCACATGAACGAGGAAGACAGATGAATGACTACAATGTGCCAACACACCCATTTAGTGTTAGAAGTGGGAAATTATATTTAGCAGAATTAAGATAATTGGGGTGGCACGGTGGCTGAGGCTCCAGTTTCCCCCACCACTAAAAACATACACAGTAGGTAAAATCCTCCAGCTCCGGTCCTGACCAAGCTGAGTACCAACATTTGGAGAAGGGTCCCGGGCACTGTACTACAGCGCGTACTGCTCATGACGGAAGCCTTAATGGCATCAGGATGGGTCAAATGCAGAGGACAAATTACCCTAAGGGGATAATAAAGTACACATTTCTTTCTTTCTTCTTTTGATAAAAAACAAAACTTTTTTTCCCCTTATCTTTTAACTTTGAAAAAGGAGCTGCATATTTTTACTAGAAGTACCTGGTCTTAACTTGGTTAGGGCTAAGAAAAAAACTGTCTAATAATATCATGTTTTAGGGGAATTATTGGCTATTCATGCTACGCACATCATGGGTAGCATCACAGGCAGGAGTTTAGTTTAAATGCACAATGCACGGGCAGGAGTTTAGTCACAGTTTGTCACAACCAAACACAAACCTACATTACTGACAAAACAAGCCTTATGAAAAAACATCCTGTGTAGATAAAGTCTAAAAACTAAATAGATTAAAAGAATATTAAAACAATACATCAAGTTGACATCAAGCGAACTAAAAAAACTCTGGCTCTTACATTTGAGTTCCAGTCGGATGAAGTCTGTGTTGCCCAGGTTTTCCAGAAACACTCCATAGGGGGCGCTGGTCTTGAAATAGAAGGATATGTCTGCGCTGGTCTCTCCTTGGAACGTGGCAAAGTGCAGGTACGATGACGGAGTCGTGAAGGACGCTGCGTTCCAGTAATCCGCTGCAGAAACAGAGACAAATAGAATCAGTTATTACAAAGAGAGCATCCAAACAGTTCAATCAATGATGAGGCAGATTACATTTGGATTGAATATTGTTATAAATGACTTTGCGGGAGTATTATTTATCCAGACGAATTTGGTCATCCCCATTTCTATGTGTGGGGCTTGATAAAAGTAAATTAAACATATCAATCACCTTTCAACGTTGGCCAATTCATCGGATCACAAGAAAAGTAGTGGGAAGTTTGTCAGTATATGGCATTAGAAATTACTACACAGACCTTTTGAAGTTGTAAGTAATATGTATTAAAAGTGATTTTTTTGGATCAGTCACACAAAGCATTTTAAATCTACCTCACTGGACCACCACAAAGCTGGCACCACCGACTCTTTCCCAAGACAGCACATTTTTAGTGGTAGTGGAACCCGTAGCAACCGGAGGAAACCTAGACAAGTACGGGTAGAACATTTAAACCCCACACACAAAGGCCAGTGAAGACCAGGAGTTGCAAACGAGAGACGATCATTGTTAGTACCAACAAATAAAATATAGGCATTTTTAGTTCTGCTCTTGTTTTACAGGCAGAGTATTTATGAAAGGGCTCACTTTGTCATCATTCAATATTTTGATTACTTATACTAGCATACTACTAAAAGAACTTCTATTCAACACCACAACAGCAGAACACACCCTTGTTCTGCTGCTTGATATAAATCCAGGCATAAAACATTTAGAACGTTTTTTTTCTACCTTTTGATGAATTATTAAACCCCGATTTTCACCACAAAAGGCCGGTAATGTAATGTAGGCGTAAATTAGGTGGAGGACACGCATAGAAGACGTTCAATTTACACCAGAGGCGCCCCACAGTGATAACCTAGTAAACGCCATGTTGACTCATGTAAAGTAATACCGCATTGGAATGAAAATATATTTTTGGACGTATATTTTCGGGCCGAAGACGCTCTGAAGACCATAGCTGTAAATTGGGCGTTATAACCTCATTTCATCTCCATTCAATAACAAGTTCACATCTTCAAATCCATCTTTTTCATTTCCTAAGAGGACACGAGTATAAAATGTAGTGTTTTTTTTAAAGGACAACTTTTCTAATGACTTTTGAATGAAGCGCGACTGGCGGCTCTAAATGAAGACAAAGTGAGTGCGTGCTAAACAGCTGCAGATGAATTATCAGACGATGGCTCCGGCGCCGTCTCCTCCGTCCCCTCGCTGCGTCTGTGCCATCACTCAGGAATGATCGAGAGCCCGGAGAGAAAGGAGAAGATGAGAAGGAAAAGGCCAAATCGTTGAACCGAATATTGAAAGTGCTGCGAAGGAGATGGAAGAAGTGTAAAGTCTTGCAGAGGGCAGTTAGCGCCTGGGGAGGCAGAGGAGCGCGGGGCAAGTGCAGGGCGCGCTGCGATCTGGAGGTGGGCAGTGATGTGATATAGATGCGATTTCTTTAAAAGGTCAAAGCAACAAGTATGGTTTATACTTTTAACAGGCTCGGCATTGATAAATATATTACAGAACAGCATAGTGGGAAAAGAAATCAAAAGCCAGCCATACACGTCAACACTTCTCTGCAAAAACTGGTGAAAAATAAGTCTAAAATTGCTCAAATGTGGCAAAATGTATCTTAATTTGAGCACATTTTGACTGCCTTAAAACAGGATTTGCCAATGGGACAAGCAAAATGATTTGGTTTTAAAAAGATACAAGAAATGTCTCCCTTGGAATTAAAAAATTAAGCAACAGTTCTTGAAATCAGACTACAGTATATGGCTTTGTCCCGGTGGAAAATCTTTTTTGAAGACAGTCACAATATACTCAGATTAAGTTAAAAATACTCGATTCAAGCAATTATTACCTCATATTTTATCATTTTTCTGTGCAGTGTTTTAAAGTAAATGCGTCAAAAAATACAAGGTCAAGACAATAAATACATAGGTTACACACAATCTCATGAAAGTACATTTCAAAATGGAGCGAAGCAAAAATAAAAGTTTTGTCGGCAATGCGTATCATGATTTTTCCATGCAGATGTGAGAGATGTGAAGACGCAAACGGCCCAGACGAAGTTCGATCAATAAAGACAGTACTTTTGCATGCATGTTATCGAACTCTGGCCAGTTCAAAACGAATACATGATTTACTTTGCTTGAATCATTGAAAAAAAGATTCCATTAAAATGCAGGTTTTTCCCGTCCATAACTTGAAAACATTGATTTACTCCAATAAAATATTTGTGATCCTGTTTGAATTAACTGGCTGAATTTAAAACCACCATTCTATATCAATTTCTTGCGGAGAGCGGTTTTAACATCAAGTGAGGGCCATGAGCTGGAGGCAATAGAGCTGAGCATGTAGCGATGCAAAGCTGATCCATCTCCTCCATATAGGTCAAGCCTGCACTGTTCACCAACTTCAGCATAAACAGTACATAATTGAAGCAAGCACAAATGAGCACGGCTGCCATTAATAATGCAAGCCAATCATGAAAGAAGCTTTAATACAAATACATTGGTGGACATAAAAGTCTATTTCAAAGAGGCTTTTTAAGTACAGTACAACAGACATATGCAAATGCGCTTTGTAGACTTTGTAGCTTGCAATAGTTCCGTACATAGAGACCAATATGTGAGGTGACCGTACATGGGGACAGGACATGTGTGTGGGTTCCTGGTTGGTGGAGATAACAGCTGTTTAATGATAGCTCTCATTGCCAGCCCTTCCTCCGTGCAGCCAGGGTCCCGGGCTTGTCACTGGGGGGAAAACACCAGAACAGGCCAAATAACGCACACGGGCTGATGTTGGCTTTGAGATTACGGTGTTTGAAGTCCACACCTTTTATTGGAGCATTTAAAATAACGGGAAAGGAAGCTAATCTGTGTGAGTGTGAGGTTTGTTAGTGTTGCATGTTTTAGAAATGATTGTGGAGGGAGAACAAACATTCCAGAGCTAGCGGCTGTCCGGCAAACACGAGAAATAATCGAAGGCGTGCATTAAATAAAAAAGGTTTAACGGTAAATTATCCATTCTGTTTATGGACTCTTGCATTGAAAGTTTATGGGGATAGATCCTCCGTAACGAGATTGCATGTATTAAATATACTAGTAGAAAAAAATGGCTAATGGTATACATTTTGTCGGCTTTAGAAGTAGAATAGTTCTGAAAATGGGTTGCATAGACCCACAGCTTCTTCTTTACATACACTGTAGATATAATCAGGTTTGCGTACATAGCCAAGTTAACGTTTTTTGACACATAATGATAATCTTTAAAATCTAAGATACAGTGATTTACGAAATATTGAAACTATTGATACTATTTTGAATATATTCTTTGAAAGCCTACAACAAAGTAACAGATGTGAAATAAAAGCAAAATGATATTAAAAAACTGACAGTCGGACGTGTTTTCAAACAGCATTTATCTGAGTGCATTAAATTGCCTTTGAAAATTTGCGAATGAGTTTTCACATCTTGCCCTAGCAATTAAAAAAAGCCCACCAGCTGTTCTGTGATGTTCTCAGAGCTATGTTTAGGTTGCATTGGTCACTACACTACATCATGAAGTCAAGGAGCACACCAGAGAGGTCAGGGAATTACTTTTTAAAACCACTGTGTGTCACCTGGCTCCCTCTGGCAACAGAAGTACAGTCCTTGATCTGGTCTCCGGAAATACATATATATAAAAGTAAATCAAGAGTTGGTGGCCTTCAGTATCTGTATCTTGTGACTTTAAGACATTTGCTCGAAATTGCTGAACCACAGAGCAATAAGAGGGACAGGAGAGAGGGTCTCGTGGACAGCTCCAAAAATTAAGGCTTGAAAGTGAGCCCAGAGAGTTGGACCAGTAAACCGAGGATGCGGATCGTAAACCCCAGGCTTCTGCAGCTGCCAGATCCACAGATGTATTCGGTTTGGCTTGGTTTGGGCCCACATTTATCACTCCCATATTGAAATGTTTATCAAGCAAATGTTTCACTTAGCCAAAAACACCATCCCCAAACTAAACCCTAGTAAACCCAGTGACGCCTTGACGGTTCGGAGCAATTTAAATTAGTTTTATTTCGGAAATTTAATTATCCAAGTTACCAAATAACCATAATAGGATGCCACCTGCTCCACAGAATTGAATGGCGGTCTTGTCAGCCAGTTTGTTTATACGCATGACAATAGAGTAATAAAGCAAATGTTATTCTTGTATAGTGGGTCATGTTTTTGTGTTAGTTCCAAAAGTCTACGGGAAATGCTCAGGGCTTTGAAGCGTCTATAGTAAATACATTTATAGACAAGATACATAAAGGCATCAGCCAAAACAAAGGACCCCTTAAAACACAACAAAGAAATATTTTGCCTGTGGGATCTGTTGCCACAATTCAATGAACGACTGGTTTTCAGCCTTATGTTTTTGCAGATCCAAGATATGAACACATTAAAGTACTTCAAAACTCACAAGTTGTGTCCCACAGCCTCATGCTGCTAATGTACAGATGTAAACATACTGCTGCTAATGTACAGATGTAAACATACTGCTGCTAATGTACAGATGTAAACATACTGCTGCTAATGTACAGATGTAAACATACTGCTGCTAATGTACAGATGTAAACATACTGCTGCTAATGTACAGATGTAAACATACTGCTGCTAATGTACAGGTGTAAAAATACTGCTGCTAATGTACAGGTGTAAAAATACTGATGCTAATGTACAGATGTAAACATACTGCTGCTAATGTACAGATGTAAACATACTGCTGCTAATGTACAGATGTAAACATACTGCTGCTAATGTACAGATGTAAACATACTGCTGCTAATGTACAGATGTAAACTGCTGCTAATGTACAGGTGTAAAAATACTGCTGCTAATGTACAGGTGTAAAAATACTGATGCTAATGTACAGATGTAAACATACTGCTGCTAATGTACAGATGTAAAAATACTGCTGCTAATGTACAGGTGTAAAAATACTGATGCTAATGTACAG